ATTGCGCCATTGTGCCTCAAAAGAAATGTATGGCAGGGTCAAAAATTGTGCTAACATCCTTGGCGACTCCAAATTAAAAGCTACACTTGAAACTTGTGGCGACTTAGTTGCTCTAGAAGCCAAATACCACAATATTTCCCTCGTTAATCTGTATTCCCGGACCCGCCGAGCTACTATAGCTTCTGACAGTGAGCGTGACTCAGTTTTTTTGTGAGGGAATGGCATTTGCGGACCTTGTTATTTTCATGCAATCTAAGCGCAATGAGTCAGCTTCCTTTGTGTTCCAAATGGGGAAGCTAAATAAAATGTAGAGTGAACGAGTCAGCAACTCAACCAAAGTTCAAAGTTCCAAACAACTCGGCTGCGTGAAAAAATATTGAATCACTTTCCTTTCCTGACATGGAGGCAATCAAATCAGGTAGAGAGTATATTCTCCGCACTGAGGGCGCTAGCATGCATGCCAACCTAAACTATGAAAATGTTATTGGATTTTATCGCTTCACGCGTAATTTAAGAAAATGCGTTTTATCCCGCGAAACAACTTTTGATGGCAATTTTTCACCCTCATGTGAGAAAGAAAGCATTCCTGAACCTCTTCTGATCGCCTCCCATTCTTATATCTGTCTCTTTTTAACATATGTGATAATAAAGGAAGAGAGGACATAGGGTTTTTTATTTATTTTACATTGCCATTTCTAACCTAGAAAATGACATTTTATTTCTTCAAAACTGACTCAAATAAGTGTCAAGTGAACCTGAAATTAATTGACCTTTTGTTTAGACGCCATATTGCAGTGCGCGAACATAGTTGCCAAAACAAAAAAAAACAAAAATTACCAGCGGGCTGTCAACTAGATATTTTATTATTTCTATTCTGCCACATTCTGCCCAATACAAGCTAAAATTGATGGCTTTTCTTTCCAAAAACATTCGTAATAGGCGGCAAATTTGAATTTTAAATGTAATTTATTCACTAACTTTGGATTTTGAAGTTGACAGAACGCTAGTAATTTTTTTTTCTACTGTTGGCAACTATGTTCGCGCACCGCAATATGGCGTCCAAACAAAAGGTCAATTGACCTTTTGTTTAGACGCCATATTGCAGTGCGCGAACATAGTTGCCAAAAGTAGGAAAAAAAAATCACTAGTGTACTGTCAACATTAAAAGCAAAAGTTACTGAATAAATTACATTTAAAATTCAAATTTGCCGCCTATTACCAATGTTTTTGAAAAGAAAAGCCATCAATTTTAACTTGTTATTGGGCAGAATAGAAATAATAAAATATCTACCTATTCACTTTACCAAACTTCGGTTGGTTTCATTTCTCAAGCCTAGTACTCATAACCGCGAAATTCGCTGTTTTTTGACATTGCTTCGACAATTTGACGTTTAATTCATTCCGCAGATTCATGCATAAAACGTCAAATTGTCGAAGCAATGTCAAAAAACAGCGAATTTCGCGGTTATGAGTCCTAGACTTTATTGTTTATAGAATCAGAGAGAGAAAGTAAACAAACAAAAAGGATAGTGAGGATCAATCATTTAGTTACTTTTGTTTTTAATGTTGACAGCTCGTTAGTAATTTTTGTTTTCTTCTTTTGGCAACTATGTTCGCGCACCGCAATATGGCGTCCAAACAAAAGGTCAATTAGTTTATTAAAAATACATGATTCTGGTAAGATTTACAATGTGAAAATCGTTAAGTTCATGCATAAATAAAAATAATTATTAAATACTAAGCTATTATTAGTGAAAAGTGAGATGTTTTGATCAAAATATATAGATTCCTGCATCCTGTCGACTGCAGAAAAACGCTGGGCTAGATTCCTATCTCAAAAATAACAAGACTATAATCTAAAAGTTCAAAAAGCCCGCCAAATATTATTTAAGTTGGTCTTGTAGTGGGTAGTGGCGCTAGTATCGATATGCTGCCAGTGTCGCACCACAGAATTGGTTACTCTCACCTTGGTTTATTATATTTCACTGAAAAACAATGTGCGAAAATTTCGACACCTACGTCCAAGATCAGTTTATTGAATTGTACAGATTTTCTAATTAATTTTTTCTACGAATGTGCGCAAAGTAACTACTTTGCGCACACTTTTGTGTACGCAAAAAAGCCCTTTCCCAAAAGTGTGCGCAAAGTACCTACTTTGCGCACACTATGCGGGAAAAAAATTTTCCTCGAAATCAGATTTTGTTTTTTTTTTTCGATTCAACGCCATCAAATTAGTCGAAATCGACTCGAGCATTGCCATAATCGTATTGTTTTTAAATTTCTACATTTTGGTTCAAAAAATGTATTAATTCCCCTAGATATGAAAAATTTCGCATCGGATAGTGAAAACAACTCAAAATTCGATCTTAGCGATCCCAAATTGTGCGAAAACGAGTCTTAGATAGTCAAAATCGATCGTTAATAGCGACATTCTGATTTTGGGGGTACCCATCCCCCAAAAACCATCCCCTAAGGGACGAATCAAAAACCACTACAGATAAAATCGTTCAATATGATCTCAATAGCAACTGTGCCAAATGGCTTGCTTGTAACCCAAAATGCCGTTTTGTTTTGCGTACCGCTAAGACTAATTAAAGAAGCAAACAATTTAAAGACTGACCCATTAAAAGTGTTAGATTTTAAAACCAATAATGTGTCAACCTATATTATAATCATAGTATTAAGTTCTATTTGCATAACCATTATTCTTATTCTATATTTTAGAGGAAAATGTATTAAAACTAAAATTGAGGTGCAGATTGAATTGCCCAACATTGTTAGTCAATCTCAATTTGCAACTACTTAAGGAGGGAGGAGGGAGGAGTTATATTGTAAGACCCTATGTTATCTTTATACTAATAATTTTCCTTTCCTATGATAATTATCAGCGTACGCCTATGTCAAAACTTATAATAATGTAAAACTGCTTAATCAGCGCTATTGCACTGGTAACACCACCATTCCGCCTACGTAAATGCTGCATCAGCAGTTATTTTATTATAAATACCGAGTAAATGTTTTTTAAAAATACAAGTTTCTGAATCGAAAATATAATTCGCGTTTCGCAATATATGTGTCATAGATCTGTGTGAAATATACAAATGGTGTTTATGTCTTCGGTTTTTTGACATTTGCGACATATTTAGATACTGTCTTTTACTTTTCGATTCTAGAATCTGGTTGGACCTATGATACAAAATAATAGCAGAAGAAGGAAAGACCATGAAAAGATGAGGACTTTACTATTTTGAACTTGGATCCACCAAGATAAGATGAAATGATGATCCAAGAAATAAAAGAAGCAACACTTAAATGAGTTTAAAACAGAAAAAGCATCAGGTCGCGTTCAAATAACAAAGGGCAACTATGATTGTTCAAAATATAGCATTTCGCAATTTCGCACATTTTAACGAGTATTCAGCTTAATATAGAGATAGATAGTAGGTAATTTTGGATTGCATTTAGCATACAAACATTAAAATAGATAAAGTAACTGATTGTCAACTTATTTGTGCTCTATTCAGCATTTAAGATAAAAGAACTAAAAACAATTATTTCTAAATGCAGTTTTTTGAGGTGGTGAGGATTTTAACAATTTTCAAAAATATAATTTCCAACAATTATTGATTTTTCTATGGCACTTTAACAATTTTCTTTTAAAAATATTTTAATTTTCTTATTGCGTGTAACGATTATTGCAAACATCGATAGTTAATTTTTCTTACAATTCTAATAAAGCCACTGTTATGCGCAGTCTTACCCTAAAAAAAATGTCCGTTTTAACTGATCATATTTGCTATGCGCAGAGCCCAAGTGTTTACGCAATAGTATTTGAAATTTAGTAAACTGGATAATCGCGCAAACAAATAGAAATAGAAATCAAATTGATACCATAGGATTGTCGAAACACACAAAAGTTATTACCACTCACCTGGGTTTTCTTCTAAGCTGTGTTTATATACGGAGTTCTCCACAATCACCAACGTATCACCATCGACTCAAGGCACTCAAGGTCCCTTTTTAACGGCCCAAGACATAGACTTTGCGAGCGTAAAACACGGAACCGGTAAAAATGCAACGTGCATATCAAGTACCATTGATCTAGTGTGGCGCAGGGTCGTAGAAAATACACTCCTGTGTGTTTTACGCGAAATTGACATTTAAGTAATTCTTTAATAAGAATGAGAAGAAACCAAATTTGTAAATAATGTTGCGTTAACACCAAGTAAAATGATCATATTACAACGGACTTATTATATTAATTTATGTGCGATTGCTATTAAATATTCTAAATTGCAATAAACTTAAAACTTAGAGATCTTTATCACAATATAGACGAAGTCATTTTGGCATCGGCACCATATTACATACGGTTCACCTATACTTTAAGGTTTTTTTTTTAGCCTAATGAATGACCAACATACTACTCTAATAATTTATTATTAATTATTGCTACAGTGCTATTTAAATAATGACGGCACTGGTACATTATGATGATTTTAATTAAAACCTTCTTAGATTGTATATGGGTACCCTAAATCTATAAGTATAAATAATATTGACTTTTTTTACAATCTGAGCAGGTTTGAGTGATGCTACAAAGCGATCACTAAATCGTTTTTTTACCTGTCTTTTTGATGATTGAGTATATTCCTTTTACACATACGAGCTGCTTGTGGAGTTACAACAAATGACCAATGAGGCTGTTTTTTAATTTGAAAATAATTTACTTTACATGAAAATGAGGCAAAGTGCGTAAAATGAAGACTTGGATAGCCACTTGTCATTTTTCCAGTTGCTGAATAAAGAATAGAAATTATTTGATGATTTGAAAAAGTTGCAACAACCCTATCATTCCATGGACTATGGTGGTGCAAGATTATTTACCTAAAAAACTCCAATTTTGGATACAAAAAGGAACACACTCACTCATTCTACGACCTTTTCGTCTACCCACCATGACGTCAAATCGTTTCAGGCTTGATGCCCTCCTCCCTATGTTATTCTGTGCCTAAAGTCAACGCTTGGACAATTCTCGGATCGGCTTTGGAACCTTCTCGAAACTCTTCGAGCGTTAGCCGGTCGTCGTGGTTCTTGTCCATTTGATCGAAGATTTTGTCCACCCGCTTTTGCGGCGTGTTCTCGTCCTCGGACGGTTGCTGACCCTATAAACGACGAAAAATTACTACAAGCATCAGAAATTGTTGCCAACAATAACGTAATAAGAGTTATTCTATAGACGATTTATGAAAGAAAAACCCATTACTCTTGTCAATTGCTATAAAATAACACCTTGTCCTGTATAACATTAACTTTTATTGAAATGATAAAGGTAGACTATTATTGGGGGAATTAGGAACAAGTTATTTCTTCGGCAACGTTCCGTTCAGTCTTGCATTACTTTATAGTAGCTAATTGCAAAGAGAATGGAAAAAATTACAGATCTTTACATGAATAGTTATGTACAGGGTCTTTTTGGGACACATTTTAACCAGTAGGTAACTTTTTTATTCGAGGTTTTTGACTAATGGTTTAAAAATACCCACTAATAGGTGTAAGATTGTCTATTAATCGTTGCGAATGCCTGTTAAAAGTCCGGGAATACACCTATAATTTTTCTTTCATTCGAAGCAACTTTAAAGTTAAAAAGTACGCTTGCCGTGCACGACGCTCATCTGTAATAACTTCTCATGGTGGAACCATGTTTATAGTGTCGGACCTGGGGGTTACGAGGGGGTGAGAATCAAAACTAGAGCCAAGTACAAAAATAGGAAAGTCTATTTACAATAAAGCTTACCACAATTACATTTCAGAAATGGGCATGGGCACTAATAATTGTCACAAGCCTAAAAGGCACTATTACTACTAACTACTATCGCGGACAATTCACTCTCTGTTGACTGATAACTCATCTTCCAATACTACCTTATTTTATGCTAGTCGAGCCATCATGGTACATGATTTCTAATTACAATAACTACCGATGACCTGGCGTCGACATTGACCTTCTATGGATTTCAATTCCATGTCCGTACAAATTAATAATTTAATAATTCGTTCAACTTGCAATGTTATTTACATGTAACGTGACCGATGGTCTTCCTGTAATCCATGAACTTTTTTGGAAGACGAATGAGTTTAATTTACCGAAGGGAGGTGCCCTATTATCCTAGATACAATAGGTCTGAACTTTTCTTACTTTTTTTTTCGATAGAGATGACTGTGATTAATTTCCATTTTTTGGGAAATATATTCCCAGACTCAAGCTTCTATTCACCAAGTTACAAATCCCTTGCCCAATCACTTCAAAAGCTGCCTTCAAGACTTTGACTGATATACCATCTGTTCTGTTTTCATTTAAAATAATATGTTTAATTAATCGCATTTAACTCGCTTCTTTTCTTGGCTCACTGTGTAACGTTATTCATAAGTTCAAGTTTAATAGTTTTTTTTTTACTACTAACCTGAGAAATAGTCATTATTCAATCTATTTTTCTAGGAAAAAATTGAATTTCTTTCCCTAGGTTAATAATGAAAATAATGAAAAAATACCTAGGTTAATAATGAAAATGACGTCATGACGCAAGGGTATTGTCATGTTTTTATTCGTTCAATTTCAATTTCATACGTCAAATAAAAAAAAAATACAGGTTTCTGTAGGTACATAGGAAGTTATCATAAGCTGTTGATAGAGGACACCACTTTCAAGAAGGCGTTCAAAAAAAATAATTAGAGCACAGATTATAAATTATTCATTTTTCACTAGGGGCCGGTTTCTCAATAGCAGGTCACCTCCGGGTTAAGCTAACTCCAGGGTAAACATTGCAATTTGACACGTTAATGTAAACTCCAGAGGTTTGTAGTGAAAAGACTAGGACGATTTTAAGTAGCACTTTATTGAATAGTAAGGTGAACAACAACTCAAAAAGGATTTCAAAAAATACGTTGTATTACGACTGGTCAAAACATAACCTACAACACCTGACCATATTGTCATTGTCAGCTGTTGTGTTATACAAGCAACTTGAAGTTAGCACATAATGTCAATGTTGCTAGCGGCTAGAGGACATGCTGACTCTGACCAACGTCATCAACCATAAATAAGAATTGCTCTAGTTTCAGTTAACAGTTAACCCTGGAGTTAAAACCAACCCGGGGGTGACTCGCTATTGAGAAACCGGCCCTAGCAGTAGTAAATAAAAATCTATGAAAGTCATTATATACCTCACGCATCACGCATTATAAACCTCAACTATTTTAGGGGAGCCCTAACGATAAGCATTCCCTAAAATGACATTTTTACATAGAGAAATGTCAGTTTAAGGCTTCCCTAAAATAGTTGGTGGAAATGGCCATTAGAAAAATTAAGAAGAAAACGAAAATTCAAGATCCGGGAATAGACAAAATATGAAATGGAAAAATTGAAAAATAAAGAATAAATAAATATATAATTAGATAATAATAATATTAATAATAATACCTGAGTAAACATCAAAAAATTTGCAAAAATATGGCGGCAGAGGCGTGGCTAACTTCTATATTCATGTTCAAAATTTGCAAGAATATGACGGCGGTACCGAATTTCTATTTGAAAAGGTAAAGTCACTGTAGGTGGGCCGGGGCCATTGGAAAAGGTTGAAAAGGAAACAACCAATCAAATACCTTGACGATACATAAATCCCGGAAAGAGGCGGGGCTCAACTAACCAATTGAATGCCCTGCTGATATCACTCGAATCTGATTGGAAAGGGGCGGGGCCTATATCCAACCTATCAAATGCTTTGTTGACATCCTTGCGTTTGATAACGAGTCAGCCACAGTATTGCCAGCTTGACGGAATTATCCCCTTTTTGCCTTTTTGAGGAAATTTTATATTTTCGTTTGCAAAAGGGTAGAAGCGGAAAGCGGAATTTTTAAAGTCTGTTTTTTTTTAAAGATAAAAGTCAAAATGACATTATGTTGGCAAAACAATATTAAATTGTCGATGCTTTCAAATTTTTTATGTAGAGAAGGTTTGTGTTGTCAACATAGTTACTAAATTTTTGATTTGGGGAATTATCTTAAAAAAAAAAACAAACTTTACTTTTTCTTTTATTTAGTCGCAAAATTTTCATATTCAATGAAAAATTGGTAATTTTAAGTTTCTAGCACACGATATACAATTAGGGGTGGGCAAAATAATCGATTAATCGATTAATCGATTAGTCGATTATTTTATTTTCAAATAATCGATAATCGATTAATCGATTATTTTCGATTAATCGATTAATCGATTATTTTCAACTAATCGATTAATCGATTATTTTCGATTAATCGATTATTTTTGATTAATCGATTATTTTCGATTAATCGATTATTTTCGATTAATCGATTATTTTCGATTAATCGATTATTTTCGATTAATCGATTATTTTCGATTAATCGATTATTTTCGATTAATCGATTATTTTCGATTAATCGATTATTTTCGATTAATCGATTATTTTCGATTAATCGATTATTTTCGATTAATCGATTATTTTCGCTTAATCGATTATTTTCGATTAATCGATTATTTTCGATTAATCGATTATTTCCGATTAATCGATTATTTCCGATTAATCGATTATTTCCGATTAATCGATTATTTTCGATTAATCGATTATTTTCGATTAATCGATTAATCGAAAATAATCGATTATTTTTAATAATCGATAATCGATTATTTATTTTGATAATCGCCCAGCCCTATATACAATAGGTATACAGGGTGGGCCATTGAACTTAAGACATTATTAAACTTTTTTTTTTAAAAAACGCGCTATTTTCGAAATAATTGAAATGTCTCATTTCAAATGGACCACCCTGTATAAGTATGGGTACAACATCTCATACCCGATTGTAAGTGAAGGCGCAACAATTGTTTTTTTCCATTACCGCGCGTAAAGTACTTACGTTACGCAGCACCTTTTAGAAGACATAAAATGTCACGCACCGCGTAAAGTAGTTTTTTCACTACTAACCTGAGAAGTACTGAGAAGTAGTCATTATTCTATCAATTTTTCTGGGAAAAAATTGAAATTCTCTCCTTAGGTTAATAATAAAAATAATGAAAAAATACCTAGGTCAATAATGAAAAAGACGTTATCACGCAAGGATATTGTCATAACGTAACAGGGGGCAAATTTTAAAAATCATCAATGACATATGCGCATTTTCACCGATGTAATGCTGTCCTTGTCATTTGACAGCAGCAAAACAAGGAACGGTTAATCATCAAGAGAAATGCGCATAAGCAAATGATGTAATTTAAAAACTTGGGCAGGTTTCTATTGATTTAATTTCAGTCAAACTGTCAATTTTGAAAAAAGCAGGTTCCTGTATGTATAGGTACATGTGTTAATCTGAGTTTCAAACCTATTTTTTATTTTCTACTAGCAGAAGTCAAAAAAAATTATATACCCCTTGGTAGAGAAAGTCATTATATACCTTACGCATTATAAACCTCGGCGTTTCGCGCCTCGGTTTATAAAAGTGCTCGGTATATAATGACCAACTTCTCTACCTAGGTATATAATGTACTATTTTGAAGAAAAATAAACCTTTTTGGGCGTAGCACCCGAAAAAAATGTTCGCCTTCGGCGATATTCTCCGGCGGTGGTCCGTTTAAGAGGGGCCTATACCTTATCTCGAAATCAACAAGGACTGTAAAAAAAAATTAAATACAAAAGTTGTTTCTGATAAAATTATAGAGTTATTAGACGTGCAATAAGGACAAGCAGTCACTTATTTTGACATCTACGCATGCGCATTTGAGTCCGAAAATAAGGATTTTCTTAATAAGGTTACTGCTTGTCTTTATTTGTGTATGGTTAGTGCGACGCAGTAAACTTCCCTTATTCCAAATTTCTGACATTCTGAACGACTTTGACCTTTTGCTTTTTGACGATGACGTAATTTTACTTAGAAAATTTATTTTTCCTACGCGCGTGCGCAAAGTAGTACTTTTCCGCACGCATTACCGTTCTCAAAGTTATACTTTTCCGCACTCAGTGCGGATACGGGCCTTATCCGCACTGAGTGCCGAAAAGTAAAAATAATTGTCAAGGAACAATAAGTGCACCTGTCGACTTTGACACATGATATCTTTAACGTCAGATTTGTGTTCTCCATTTACATGCAAGAT